GCCCTGCCGCGGGGTGGGGTGGGGGCAGCGCCCCGGGGGCTTTGGCAACACTCCCTATATGGGGGAGGGGGGGGTGGCCCCGGCCTGGCCTTTCGGTCGGTCCTGTCAGGGGAGGAGCCGCCGCCCGCGTGCCTCTGGGGACGCTGCAGACCGAGAAGGCAGGAGCGGCGCCCCCTCGCGGCCTGGCGAGGAACCTCCCGCGTCCAGCCCTGCAGAAGACCGGCCGAGTTGAGGGCGGGAGGGTGGTGGCCTGGCGTGGGGCCGGGCTGGACCACCGAAGACGTTTCCGGGGTCATGAGGCCGGCATGACTAAACACCGAGGTGCACGGAACGCTCTGTGACCTTCCCACCGAAGTGGTCCCTATTTATCTACTTGCCATTTCTTGGCAGGAGCTGGAACTAGAGACGGGTCTTGAACTGCTGAACTACCGAACTTCCACAGCCTGCAGTTCAGCTGAGTTTAAGAAACAGTTTGTATGCTACACATTAACATGAAAAATTTTTACTCACCCGTGACGATGGAGATGGAAACAGCGAAAAGGCATATTTAATCCAGATCTGAAGAACAGGAACTGTTGGGTTTTTTATTTAAAGTTTGTTAGCAGACATCTCACAGCTAAAGTGGAATGAGGCAGAATGGGGCAGAATGGTCAGTTTCTTCCCCTTTCTCGGTCAGAACAAAGAGACAAAGAGACAGGAAGAGGCCCATAAAATGCAAACAAATGCTCTCACACCTACAGCCTCCTTTTACTGAAGTCTTCAACAGTCTGTCAACTAAATTCAAACTGCCAAATTCTCCTATAAATCTGCTATATTCAACAAAACATTCTTCACTATCTTAACTGCAAACTCTATAACTCGGCTACATGCAACAACACATTTAAAGGGACACAAGCAATTAACTGAAATCATTACACCAAACAGCCCTCTGCTTAGCCCACATAAGCACAAAGGGAATGTTATGACTACTCTCGTAGCCATAGTGGTGATGTCACAACGTAGTGGAAGGGCCTTCTATATAAGAGGTAGTGGCTGGACGCGGGGCTCGTGCACGCACGCTGCATTCCGGATTGAACTTGGCGGGTCTTCAAGGCGCCTGGCTGGACTCAAGACTTTGGTCTGCTGCTGCTTGCGCAGGATCTTCTCCTCCTCCTTGGCTCCATCATCCACCAAGAGGGAGACCAAGGAATCAGGAGGAGACTGAACCTGGGAAGGGCGGCCAGGAAGGCGCCAGAAAAGGCCCTTCAGCGGAAGGATGTGTGTCGCTGGAGACCCAGATCAAGTGGATTCATGCCATGGTATCCCCCAGGACTATGGATGGGGGTGAAAGTTGGACAGGGAAGGAAGCAGACAGGAAGCAAATGGATTAACTCCAGATTTGGTGTTGGAGGAGAGTTTTATGGATACCACACATCAGGGGGTTCTAGATCAAGCCAAGCCTGGATTCTCCCTAGAAGCTAAAATGACTGAAGCTCTCCTACTCTGGTCACATTACGAGAAGACAAGAGTCACTGGAAAAGTCAATCGTGCTAAGAAATTGGAAGGAATATTTTCTTTAAGCAAAATAAGGCCAAACTTAATTCTTCTTCTCTATTAAAGGGCAATAAATCTTAATATTTCTGTTTTAATTAGCTGTCAAGGATAAAAGAAAAACCTTGTGCAATCAGACTTCACCAAAAGATCAGCCTTAGGTGAGCTCACCACTACAGGAAAACTTGCACAAGCAGCAAGAAAAGTAACGACAGGATCAAAGTGCTGCTACAACACTCGACTGAAGGCATCAGAATATTTTCCAATTCATTTAATTAGTTCTAACATAAGACATCCTCATACAACAAAGTGTTGGGTGGGGGGACAGGTCTGTTTTTGCACAATATAGAATAAGAAAGGAAGCCAAAACTGGCTAGGTTGGTCTGGCCTCTAGCCCGTGCAAGGGTGCCGTATCCTATGCAGTTAGTCCAGTCTCAGGCCCACAGATTTCACTGGGCTTAAACGGGTGTACCGCTGCATATCAGCTTACCCATGGCTCAAGTTTTCTGCTTGAAGCTGAGCCCGGCTTTCCTCTCCACGTGTCCGCAGTTCTTTCACGGAACTGTAATAGTTTTCCTGGCTGCTGAGAGCTGATGGACAACTGGTGCACTGTGTGATGAGCTGAAATACTGGGGTGCAGCTACCCGAGTGTGCTGACTGGGACTGGGACGACTGGAATGCCATGCTGTTTTGCTCATCTCAGGAAACAGGAATTGTGGAAATGCACCATGCATGAAGCATTCTGACAAAGGGCACATGGATTCTCAAAAGTGTATACGTGGTCTCTCGGGTGCTACTGGACTTCAATCCAGTTCTGCCGGTTTCAAGGCACTCCCAACTGCTATCTGCAGGAGTTTCCCTGTTCTTGAATTTTTGGGGTCCAGTTTGGTTGCATTGTTCACTGTGGGTGTGATACACTGTATTTTGCATTGTCCTTTATGATACTGTAATCTGCTTTAAGACTCAGCAAGGAATGAAGTAACTCCATACAGTTTTGCTGGAATAATAGGTCCTGTTCATTTTCAAGGTGCCAGCCCCAGCGCACGCTTCCTCACCCTTCCTTTATAGCCTTTATGTGGGGGCAGCCACAGCTCACCGATTCACCCGTCCCCACCCCGTTTCTTCCTTACGGAGCTCAAAGCAGTTTACAAATATTTTAAAAAACCACATCGAAAAAATACATTAAGAACATAAAGCGAAAATTTAAACTCACCACTCAGGACTGCGAATAAACTTAGCCCAATGCAGCCCTAAATAAAAACCCTCTTCAAGCTGCCTCCTAAAGATCTAGGGCAGGGGTGTCGAACTCATTTATTACAAGGTCCGGATCTGACATAAATGTCACCTTGTCGGGCCGGGCCCTGTGTGCCATAAAATATAATGCCAGGCATGGGAGATACAGACTTTATAAAGGACGCAGGGAAACCTAATTAAGGATGTTATTTTTTACTCAAAGTACAAATGCTTAAGACATTAATGCTCTTGCAGTATTTCCTCAAAGTATCTCCCTGATGCCCACCCTCCCACTTCCCCCTCCCCTTACTCATTAGCACGGGGACTGGATGCACAGCCTCTGTCATCTGGCAGTTGCTTGCGGGCTGGATAAGTGCCCTGGAGGGGCCAGGTCTGGCCTGCAGGTGGTACGCTTGACACCTTTGATCTAGAGTGAGGGGACCAGATGTCACCCCTGGGGGGAGGCTGTTGCAGAATCCTGGGGCTGCCACTGAAAAGGCTGTGATCTTAACTCCAAGGCAGGAACATATTAATTTATTCCAGCTCTTCCATCTGAACTTAAGAGGCTTCCAGTGTTTGCACACAAACACCTCTGTCACCTCCTCCAAGAGCCCTCTGTCAGCACAATTCCCACGGCAGCTCTTGGACTGTCTTAAACGGCTTCTATTCCAGGCACAGGTTAGCAGCCAAAAGTTAACCCATCTCTTCCCAGGACTGGCCTGTCCGAAGCCAGATGCTGTGCTCCAGTGCCTCCTTCCAGAAAAGTTGCTCTGAGACCTTTTAAAGCCATGTTAGTTCAAATGGAAACCATCTTTCCTTTTTTTTAAAAAAAATATGGCCAGCTTGTCCCAAAATGTTCCCCAACACCTTATCAGCAGTGTTCCCTCTCAGCTGAGTTAGTGTGAGCCAGCTCACACCTTTTTGCCGTAGCTCAAGGAGGAGGGCTCCAGAGCAAACAAATTGATGCAGCAGCCAAATGGCTCGCTCACAAGTTTAATGCTCACCAAGCAGGATTTCTGCTTACAAGACTCTAGAGCTTAGAGGGAGCGTTGCCTGAATATTTCCACCCTGCACCACCATCTCACCCATGCAGTGAGACGTCTCCTCTCCACACCGACAATCCCTGCAGGTAGAATGGGCAGCGTTTCCGAGAACCGGGGGGGGGGGGGGGCGGGGGGTTTAACCCACCCTCCCCCCAGCAACCTCATCTGGCCCCTCCAGAGCAGCACACCTGCACTTCCCGACTGGTAGTGGAGCCACCAGCTCCTCTCCTGCCCTGCTTTCCAGCCCACTAGAGATCACTGAACGTCCACAGTTTCCACTACCGGGAGGCAACAAGCCCACCCCAGGGCCACCTATCCGCATTCTCAAGGACCACAGGCAAGAGTCCAGCAGCTCCTTAAAGGCTAGCAAAATCTGTGGCAGATGCTTCCCAGACCTGATGAGATCGGCCTTGCCTGGGTTTTTGTAACGTATGTCCTTCATCTGTGAGGGCAGAAAGGCAGGGTATAAAGCCACCAATAGAATTTGGGTCAGCTAAGGGACTAGCGTCACCAGAGAAGGAAGGGACTGAGGGGCGGGTGACGAGGTGCCCCCCCCCCATCAAAGGGGGAACTCCACATTCCGGCAGCCATTCTTCCCCAGGGAATGCGTTCCACCGAGGAGGTACGTGCAAAAGCACTCTGGACTGGCGATGATTTGGAGACAAAATAAAAATGGAGGTTTCTGTACTTTTGAGGTCGTTGTAACCAGAAATGAGAGAGAGTTGAGACGGGGGGCTGCACATAAAATCACAAGCAAGGAATAATCTCTCTTTCAAACACGTTATTTTAAAGGTTGCAGCTTGGCCACTGAACACACTGGTGTGAAAGTTGCTCCAATCGCACCCCGTGTTAAGCAGACTTCCCACACCCCACCTCGACTTTCCTGGGACCGCACAGGCCTGTTTTTTATGCGGAACAGGATTCTCAGGCACATGAACCGGCTGCATGCTGCTTGCTCACTCCAGCTGCTCCAGGATCTATCCAGCAAATAAACGGCTGGAGCTGCCAAGCCCCACAACAGAACCGTTCAAGAGGCAAGCGATGACAGCTGTCTTGATTTAAATTTATCTGAGGCTGTACCTAGGCTGTCCAATCCAACGTCCTGCTGCGGCTGCTCCCCCCCCCCCAATTTCAGCCAGACCCATCGCTCTGTCAAGACATGGTGACACACAGGAGTGGGCTGCACCGCACCATTCTGGAAGCAGGCCTCAGCGCCACCCCACCTCCCTGACAGCAGGAGTGTCCGTGGAGACACTCTGTCGGGTCCCCTTTGAGCAGGTTTGTTTTTAGTGCGGCATCAGGCGGAAAGCGGCAAGTCCTGCTCTGAATGAGCACCTGAGTTAGACTCAAACCCAGCCGCCCCTTAGAGGCCAAAGAGATTTTGGGGTGTGTGGCCTTTCGAGAGCCAAAGGCCCCCTCCTTATCAGGTGCCGAGGGACAAAAGCTCCTCTGCCCCCAATACCTGGTTGGCCTCCAAGGTCCCACTGGACTGGAATCGAGCTCTTCTGCTGAGGGACCAACGTGACTAGCCTCTGAAATAGAGAATGAGATGCCCCCCTTTAAACGTGGGGGCCTCCGCCTTCCCATGCAGGGAACATTCCCCACTCCCTTGCGACTCCTGGGGCATCACCAGGCATCAACCGACCCCACAAAACCTCACTCCACTCCACAAGGTGAAAGGCCTACCGAGTAGCGGTAATCAGTGGGAATGTCCCAGGACTCTGCTCAATTCAGCCACCACACCGCACCACGGGTCAGGTGTTACGGTGGACCCGGGCGCCACAACTGGAAGCCACTGCTGGAAACCATCCTGCAAGCCATGCTTGGGTGCACTGTCTGAGCTGACAAGCCACAGTCAGAGCGACAGGGCTGCCTTTAGAGATACTTGCGGCTGATCGGCAGGAGTGCTTTGCAGGTCCCATGAGCCAGACTGGATTAACAATGATGTTTTTGGAAAACCCGGACAGTTTTGGGCATGGATCATACAGGGAAGGCGTCAACTGAGCCAGGTGCCCTTACACTCTTTGGGGTCCCACTGTCGCTTCTCGACAAAACTTTCCATAAACAAAGGAACGAGTCCTCTCAAGACCTTTGCTATAAATACAGCTGATCGTTCCCTCCTCTTCGGTGAAACCAGAGCCCGTCATACCCAGAGACCTGGATTCCCAGTGTTGTGGGAACAACAGCAGCAGCTGCTGCACCGGCATTTTTAATGTTTCCCCTGAAAGGGAAAAAGGGAATTAAAAATCAGACTTGCAGCAAAATTACAAAACGATACTTTAATATGTATTTACAGAGCAGCCCGCACTGGTTGGTTTTGTAGTCCTAAACAGAACTGTAGATTTCCCTCCATTTCTAATAAATCCGGGTTGTCAGCGCTTCCATGCTTTGCTTTTCAGTGACCAGACATCACAGAACAGGGAGACTGGAAGTATGTAAGGTGTTTGCTAGCTTGACTAAAAGTAGCCCTGGCATTGACTGAAAATGCACAAATGCTTCAAAAGGGTACTCTAAAAAGGAGCTGTACAGTTTTCCTTGGGAGTCACAGAGAAATGTCCATCAATTATTTCAGTCAGGGGAAGGGTCTACTATATTGGACTTATTTGTGAATTTAGAAAATAATCTCTTAATACAGCATAAGCAAACAAACTGTTATGGTAATGGAGAAGCACGCGCACGCGTGCACACTCACACACACACCCTTTCTCTCTCTCTCTGCACCCACATATCACAAAGGGCAGGGAAGGATCTTTTGTCCCTCCAGAGGGCTCCCGGGGGGGCTCTCCTTCCTGCCAGTCACAGCTGGTGCCGGAGAGACTCCACCGACACCCTCTTCCGCTGGCTCCACTCGGGCTGCCAGAGACCCCCCTCGGGAGCCAACGGGCATTTCTCAGGAAGAGCCATGGGGGGGGGGGTGCATGTTCAGGGGTCCCTATTCTCTGAGTCGTTTTTTATTTAAAAGGAACTCAGAGAAATTTGCAGCTTTACATTTTCAGATCAAGTCTATCTATCCCCCATTATTCGAAAAACAGGGAGGGACGGGACACAAGGCTCATGTCTGCACAAACACACACAATGTATATGTATATATGTATATATACATATACATACATATATATATACATATATACATACACACACGCATATTTAAAAATGTAACATTATGTACATTTTATTTCAATAAAGACATTAAGATAAACAGCGTAAAGATGCTCGGATGCCCTAAAGTTAAATACATTTCAAAGATTCTCATTAAATGAATCTGTAGCATTTTTCCTGCAAACAAAATACCTTTCTCAAAATACAAAAAAAGTCAGCATTCTGGATAGCAAATGCTTTTTTAAAACTTTTTTGCAGAAAATCCGCCATGATTTTGTTTCCAATGAGTTATGATTTCCCACAAAGCAGGCTTGCTCTACATGCTAACTTTTGTTTTTAAACAGTTCAGTGACACAATGTGCTAGCTACATAGACAACAGATAATATAGTAAGAAAAACACTCAACCTGATGAAAAGTTAAAATTTTCATTAATACACTGGAAAAAGTTGACATAACTCATGCCTTTTCAAATCAAAAAATACAAAAATTAAATGTTTTCCTAAAAAGATTTTCCTTATTTTAAGGACTCATTGGAAAAATGAAGCTGCGTGTAATTTGTACAATAAAATTGTACAAGTAAACAGGTAATATACATAAAAAATTAATTGACATACTTCTCAATTATCAGTTGTCCACCTTTAATTTCCAATACTGTACTTTCTTTAACAAGCATACAAAATATCAAACTTCTCTTTAGAAAAAGTGCCATTCTGCGACATCCTTTACACAAAAACGGCCCGAGCCGATGGCGTGTTGATGCAGTTTCGAGGCAAACTTACTAACTTTTACAAATTTTTCCCTTCCATAAAAAGCCTCCTAAAAAGGAGATTGCGCTCCATTAAAAAAATATCCGCCTCTTGTGTGAGCTGCATTAGAGAGCCACGGCTTCGGGGCCATTTCCATAGGGCATAGAAAACCACTCTGATAGCATATCGGCTAGCTGCCCGGGTGGCAGAGGAGTGTGCTGGACCACAGGATTCTGCATAGTTGCTGTGGCGGCGCCGTCAGAGCGACACACAATTCAGAGCTGTGACAAGCCGTAGAGCAGAAGGACCACCCACCCCGCCCGCCTCAGAGACTGAACAACTCCCACCATCCTTCGCTCCTGGAGGGCACTGAAGGCAGCGGAGAGCTGAACAGCATTGGGCCCAACCGGGCCTCCGCAAGGACTCTCGTCTGCACGGTGGACGCTGAGGTACTGGTTCTTGTCCGTCAACCGTTGGCCCACCGCAAGAGATAGTCTGTCCAGGGTACATGCCATCACAATGGTTTAAATATTCTGAATATTAGTAATTCTTATATTTCTTCTTATCTAGCCAGTCTCTTGATTTTTGAAAAGATTTCCACTACAGTAGAATATTACAGAAACAAAAAAACAAAACGAAAACAAAAAAACCCCAAAATCATATATAAACGCAGATTTCTAAATGAAACTTACATGGAATAAAACTAGATAATATTTTTAAACAAATATACAGTATGCAGGCAGACAAAGCAGGAGAACGGCCATCCAATCATATCATTAAAAAAACCCTAGTAAAATTTGGCTTTTTTGGGGGGGGGGGGGGGGGGGGAGGGCAGCATGGGGACTATGAAGCCGCCTCAACTAAAAGGAATGCATAATGAATTTCTAAAATCTAATACAGGTCAAAAATGTAAAAAGGTTATAAACCTTAACAGGGGGGAAAAAAACCCCAACCCAACGTTTACTGGCCATTCCTGTTGAAATGAGGATCTGAAAAGTTAACAACACAAAAGTGGCTACAAAACCCACTTAAGAGAGCACCAAACAGAGAGAAAACAAGAGTCCATTTTCAATCTCTGTTATTCATAAAATCCTGCGTTTTTACAGGTCAAACTGCTGGTGGCAGAAACAGAATTCTTTAAAAATGGCAGATGTCCTGTACATTAAAAAAAGAAAAGAAAACTGGAGCTGCCCTAGTTCTAAAGAGCCTTTTCTGCTGTGGCCCACCTGCTGCACGGCACTAAGCTGTATTCCACTGGCGATATATATAAAGTCCTTCTGTGACCCTTGATTACTGTTGGGCGTCAGAGATAAGAAAAGCGAGACAGGGTACAAAAATGCAAAACTTTCAACAGTAATGGCAATGTTTTTTTGTTTCAGTCCAAAAGGGAAAAAAAAAGAGTTTCCTGCATTTTTCCCCCTTCGGTCGTCTGACGAAGGCATGGGGTTTAGTCAGGGGGCAGTAAGTCATGCAGACGAAATCTGTCTCTGATGTGAGGTCGAACATCTTCATTCTGCAAGAGGGAGAAACAAAAAAGAAAGTGACCTCTTCCAGTTTTTTCCACGTTAGAAACAGTGTTTTCACTGTTTCTGTGAGCCGTACAATCTTTATTTTCGATAACATTTATAATCCAAGTCCACAAAGCAACTCTTAGCGCTCTGATTCAGAAGCTGAGCAAAATCAGTAGGGAGGCCCTGTCTGTGGTAGGCCAGGCACAGACACACACACCGCGTCCTCTCCTTCTGGCCCTCCCAGTCACAGTTTTTTGAGTAAAAACACAACCCAGGGGGCGTAAGACGGTGCAGAGGAAAGAGGAGCAGGACGCTGCCAACCCTCTTCGCTTCCACACCCTTGCACAAAAGACAAGCCACACAGAGCGCCTCTTTCCATCCCCTGACATATACTGTTAGCTGATCAGAGCGTGTGACGGGGACACCGAGGGACATGCATGAAAGAGGCTTTTTCCTGAGCCCAGGCAGATGAAGTCTCATGAAGCTACGAGACAAAGATAAAGATCAGTCTCTGAAGTACGTACCAGCTCTACAAGTTTCTCCAGAAAAGGAATCAATTTTAGGAGTTCATTATCATTTTTATCCATGAACCAGCTCTCTATAGGAATCCCATTTGAAAGCTGCAATAAAAACCAGAGGGCAAGTTAATTTTCTGTGCTAGAATTTCTCCGAAAGGGAAAGGAGAGAGACGGGTGGTGGCTACGACCCAGAGAGGCACACAAGAGCCCCAGCTCAAAGAAACGTCCTAGCTGAGCAAGAGTTTCCTTCGCTGCTTGTCTCTCTGGGAGCCCAACTGTACTTTAAATTTCCCTCAAGCCTGAAAAACTGCTCCCGTGTGTGTGTGTGTGTGCTTCCAGCTTTAAATGCCGAATGCAGCAAAAGTTCTTGTGTCAACCAATCACAGCCATTCTGTGCTTCCTACACCATGTATGCGACATGACAAAGATGAGCACCAGCAGCCCTCCATCCTTGGAACACAGGGCTTTGCGCCAAAACACCCCTGTCCCCTGAGCCACAGCTGCGCGGGGCTTACAACTTCCACAAAACTGATGCAGTCGGAAGACAACTTGCATTTTTGTAAAATGTTGACGCTGCTTCCGGCTGAAAATGGTCTCGACCCTACAGAAACATGAGCACAAAGGATTCACAGAGGCAGACCTTTCCCCATCTTCTTCTTCCACCCCCACCCCCCACCCCCACCCCAGCTGCCTGCTTCTTCCCCCAGAAGTATTTCATTGGGGGTATTAAGTGAATTTTGAAAAGAAAATGCACCATGGCATGGAGGACTACCAGCAGGGGGCAAAGATGTGAAAAGCAGGCAAAACTGCACAGACAGACCCTCTACCCGATGCAGACGTCCACTTCCGCCTTCGTTCGGTCGCCGCCTCTGCCCGCTGTGGTCTGTAACCCGCCCACCTGCCCCACCAGACTCAGCAAGGCCTGGCCAGTCCTCACTTCAGAGGTGCTGGTGCTCTCCTGCACGGGGGAATCTCTGTGCATCTCGGGGCCCCACCCGCACAAGACAACTGCCTCATCGACACGTGGCCAGACAAGACAGGAAACCGTCTGGCCGCGGCGCCTTCTGCTGAGAAGGGTCTTGACCCTCAGAAGAGGGTTTACGGAGCCTCGTGGTGGCGGCCGGCCACAAGCGCTTTCCACTCACTCACACTTCCAGAGGGTCCAGTCCTCTTAGTCCACCACTACCAAACCGCCCAGCCTCCACAGTCCAGGGTACCGCGTGTGTGTCGTGGTGGACATCATAAACAAGATGCAGGCGCTTGCTGTGAGGTGGCAGAGAACCCCGCTATCCACATGCTCCCTTAGCTGCTGGCGCAGCAGATACCAGAGGACAGAGTGGGAAGGCACGGTCCCTGCTCCCGGGGGACCAGACCCACCCGAGGGACAGCCCTCTGGGAGAGAAGGGGGAGACCTCCCAGGACGAAACGGCAGGCGGTTCCAAGGCTGCCTCTGTGTTCCGGGTGGATTCCCCACTACTGCGGGGGCCATGAAGGAGGCGGCACTGCTTTCACCCACTCAGGGACCAGCAAACAGCCAAGACGTCAGCAGACCACTTATTTTCCCCACTTTTGTCTTACGAGATTTGAAAAAGAAGGAGACGAAACACTCACCTGATAGGCAAAGGCTTGTGGTGAATTGTCAATAATGATAGTTTTCGAGAGATCTCTACCAAGGATGTTCAGATCCTTTATGTAGTTCCCCTGGACACAAACGCAATGCTCACGGAAAAGTCGATGCCTGTGGTTAGTTAAAAGGGAAAGGGAAACGCACCATGGCAGTGTTGCTGTCTCAAAGCCGACCCCCGCTCTGATGGGCTCCGTTGTGAGCACAGCCTTTTCAATGAGGTTTTGCTCTGGGACCACCCAATGTACTGATGCCAAGCATTTCAACGCTGCCTTCCCCACTACTGATCGTCAAGGCAGCTTGCAATATTTAAACGTGGTATAACGCAAGATACGTAATTTAGAGTACAACTCACAAGCCGAAAAACAATGGCAAACTCCTGCCAAAACAATATCCAGACGGCAAAGAATAACCAAGGTCAGAGTGCCTCCAAAGGCCCTGAGGGGAGAAAAGGAGGATACGGATCGGGTGCCAGGGGAAGACCAACGCTGGCTGCCAGGGAACACCCTTCAGCGTAGTGCTGCACAGAGGCGGGGCTACCACGGAAAAGGCCCTCCCCCGCCAGGCGGCCCCCATCCAGCTCCTGAAGGTGGGGCAACGGGAGCAGGGCCTCTGAGGAAGGCCGCGAGGCAGGGGGGTCCCCTGAATCACACTCCCCCCCAAAAGCCTTTGTGCGGTGGCCAGAAACAAAGCAGCAGGCAGCGCCAACGTTTCGGCACTGTCAAACACCCCAACGTAGATGAATGTAAATCAGTGGGTTAGAGCCAGTCTGGTGTCGTGGTTGAGTGCGGGGACTCTAATCTGGGAGAGCCGGGTTTGATTCCCCACTCCTCCGCTTGCACCTGGCTGGGTGACCTTGGGCAAGCCCTGGTTCTGATAAGAGCTGTCCTTGAAAAAGAGCAGTCTCTGTCAAGAGCTCTCTCAGCCCCACCCACCTCAGAGGGCGCCTGTTGTGGGGAGGGGGAGGGAGCTTGTAAGCCGCTCTGAGGGTGAGGTCAGACAGGCTGTTTAGTCCGCTTATGGCTCGCCTCAGAAACAGATTTTATCTGCGCAATCACACGGTCAACATCTGCCTCCCGTCCCCAGCCGTCACTTTCCGGCTCAAAACCGCTTTAACCCGGAGTATTTTGATACCAGGTCCCCAAGTGGTGTTTTCCTGATTCCCAGGTTCCAGCTGCATTTTTCCCCTGTGTGATCGCACCTCCGGTGTCGAGCCACTTCCGGTTTAAACCCCCTCCCCGCTCGAAAGCTACCCGAGGCTTCTGCTTTTCGCCCACCATTTTTCCCAAGCATTGCCGGTGTGCGCATAGGCAGAGGTCCACCACCGCGTTATTAAAAACAATGTTTAAACATCCTAGTTTTAGCCTTTAGACGAGTTCGGGATGTCATGGAGGCCATTTTCGGGGTAAACATTTAAAGGGAAGTGTTCCTTTAAAGTTTAAAGGGAAGTGTTACAGCAATCAGGTTGAAGTGGAAATTGCAGTTCTGCGCACGTGCGAAAATTTTAGTTCTACAGATGGCTGCCTGTGCATATGCCCAAACTGAGAGAGAGAGAAAAAACAACAGTGAAGCACGCTCCCGCGTGTGGACGGCGGGGAATGATGAGGCTGCGCGGCGATCTGGAGCAAGGAGGTGAGAGTGTGATCGCGATTCTCCAGGTTAAAAAAAGACCGCATCGGGGCCGGAGCAGTTTAAACCGCTCCCAGCACACCGTCTGACCACACCCTGAGACTCCCCTTGGGGAGTGGAGGGCGGGGTATAAATCCAATCTCTTCTCTCTCTTCTTATATTGCGAAGGGGGAAAGCCTGCTTTCACTAAAGCGTTTCTATTACTATTCTCTCTTACATTTAATTCTATATTTTCAGCCGGATCCGAGTCCAGCAGCACCTTGGAGACCAGCCAGGTTTTTGGAGTATGAACTTTTGACAGTCAAAGTTCTCTTCGTCAGACATGAGCAGGAATCCCGTTTAACTCCTTGCCTCGCCTGTAGCTGTTCAACTGCAGACAAACACGGCCGCCCTCCGGAAGCATCTTTATATTTTGACTATTTTAGAAAGTGACACATTGATGATCTTGATTGCCAAATCACAGCCCCACTTCGCAGCTTCTGCAGGGAGGTGGGAGTCGGAAGCCACCTCGGACAGGTCTCTTTCCCACCTCTGCCCCTCCTTGTTTGCCATATGAACAGCCTGGCCTCACCCCTCACCCCAGCAAAAGATCCCTCCTCCTCTCAGTCAGTGGAGCGACCTCCTAGCTCCCAGAAACAAGCCATCGTGTAAACACACCAACCGCTGTGCCGGACAGATGAGCAACAAAGGTATCCGGCCCACTCTTCTTTAAAAGGAACAGCCACTTTCAACAAGTTTGTCACAGAATACATTCCGCTTTATATGTCTGCATTAAGTTCCAATTCATTTTGAACCAGGTCATTAAGAGAGAAATACCATCTCTTAAAAAGAAAAAAAATTACAGCCCCACCCCCCCTTTTTTTACATCCCTGATCTTTATCCACCCCTGAAATACAGTCATGATGATGAATCCCTTTTGGGCTGCCGAGCCCCACAGTACCTGGAACTGACCATTCTGAATGGCCTTTAAAGGTCACCCCACAAATGACCAGCTGCACCAGATGGGGAACTGCTAGCGGCCTGCCCTTTCCTAGAAAGTTGTTGCTTGTGCCATGGAACCCACCGGGGCTCCCTCTGATAAGGCCCCGACTCTGAGCCCTGCCAGACTGCCAACCTCTTGCTCACCGAGAAAGCCCATTGGCAACTGAAGGCTGAATGCCCACCTGCCCCGGCACAAACAAACCCCCCACCTTCTGCCGTACAATCATCATCACACAAAAACAGAAGATTGCTGTACAAGTTCATATTTCTTGCAGTTCAATAATATTGTTTTAATAGATATTCTTTGTTTCAATGGATGAACATCAGGAAACTGAAGTCCCAGTAAGGCAAGCAAGGACAAACTTTCTCGAGTTTTAACTGTCCGTTTCGTCAAAGTCTTTGTCAAACCTGAGTTTGTGGTGTTTTCTTCTATTCAAAATATCCAACAATCAGTATATTAGTTCATGAGTGGCTGTATGTAGCTCTTATCTATCACAAAATCTTTCCGGATTTGTTATTATTGAACTGCAAGAAATATGAACTTGTACAGCAATCTTCTGTTTTTGTGTACTGTTTAAAATTGCTGGGTCCTTGTTGTATCCAGTACAATCATCATCACCATCATTCTCAACGTGTGGCCAAGTGATGACGCTGCCTGAGCAAAAGGAACTTTTATGTTTGAGGAAAAGTGACCACACCCTGCAAGGTAAGATTAACTGAAATAACCTAGTGGTGGATACACAATCAAAGCCGTGGCCTCGCAGCAGTAGTAATTTAGAAGAGAGAGACTTGATTAACTTAGCCAGGAGATGGAAGGCCCACACCATTACTGTGGCAGAAAATCTGGTACAGTAAACCATGGCAAAGAATTCTTGTATTCAGATGCTGAGTCCCGTGTGCAGGCCCAAGGAAGGAAGCCAAACTGACCGGGCCCAGAAGTCAGCTTTCCAGTGCCCAAGGGTTCACGGCAGCAGAACGGTCATGAGTTCAGGGGAGGCACAGATCAGGTCACCGGCCATGCGACCAAAGTTAATTTCCCGTAATTATATTGTTGGTGACTTGACTACACGCCTCACATACCCATGCTTAGTGCTTTCAAGGCTTTGTTTTGAAACCACGTCAACTTTTCATCACACATTTGTGTTCCGCTTCTGAGCATGCTGCGGTGTTTCAAGACGGCTAGAATTCTGAAACACGACCATCAAGATTTACATCGCAAAGGTGCCTCGCTCCCACTGGGTTGTGGCCAGGCTTACCTGACCAGTTGCTTTTTAGGGTCTAGTATGTTCAATAACTTGTCTGCATACACCTTCTTAGAAGCAGTAAAAAGAATGATCTACAAATGAAGCAAGGACACAATTACCACCTGCCCAGCCATGAAATCACTTAAAGAGACCCACACACAATCCGGGCAACTTGCATTACCTCATAGATCTGTGACATCCGCTCCAAGAATTCTCTGAAGAATGGTCTTAACCGCACGTAAACCTAGAACACAAAAACAGTTTAGCAGAATGTACAACAGAGAGAAAGTTTCACATTTAAAGTAAACGACAGGTAGCCAGTAAATTCTTCCGTCAAACACATGTTAACACCACAGTCAGCGATAAGAATTTACACTACAATGTATGATACTATTTGCTGGTCTAACAGAGAACATCCAGCAGTGATTTATTGCTGGCAATCCCTTATGTCAAAGAGTTATCTTCTTTTCCTGGTGACCAGCTGGTTAAGGCTCCATCAGAGACATCACATATGGAACCACCAAGTTAAGGGCCATTTGTAAAACAAACAAACAAACAAACAAACAAACAAACACCATGCTTTTGACCCTCAGGATAGTTACCCTTCAGCTAGAACACTTCTGTCAGATTAGTATGCTAAATTCAGGCCCAAGGAAATATCTCACAAGTTAGTACCACTGTCAGAAAACAATGCAAACTCCGCCAATTCTTATGCCTCTCATAGAAAGAGGAAGTAACTCGTTTCTATACCACCTAGCTTTACAAACCTGTTCGCATTTGGAACTTGCCACCCAGCGTTAACTATACACAGTTTTATCTAGTTAACATCTTGTCTTAGTTGAATTCTGCATCTTCCTTCAACAAGGAAACTCTGAAGAATCAACCTGCCAAGTCTTACAGTGCTCCCCCTCGCCCCAGGAGGAGCCCCGCCTGGCCACAGCCAGGATGCGCACAGAGGCGTCAGAAGTGAAAAAAGCCTCTCTCGGCTACGCATGTTCTAGACTATGTTGCCTTTCTTATCAGACCCAACCCCTGAAGGACAACGCTCCGAGCATGGCATGAAAGTCCATTTCTGTTGCACGGGACACTGAGCCAGCTATCAGCAGACACACACTGAAAGCCTGCAGGTTGCATTCAAAAAGAATGACAAAAATATTCCCCAAACAGGCAAGAGCAATGAAATGAGCCTTCCAGCACCAATACCCCCTGAAAGCATCAAGTCTGACGGTACTGGTACGCAGGCGGGTGGTGAACACCAGTTGGAGGAAAATATACCTCTGGAGAAAAGCTATGCATTATTTAGTTGCAAAGGGAAAATCAGCAAGCTCGTGTTCCACAAACATTACCTTCATATCATCTCCAATAAAGGTTTGCTGCAACATGTGTTACAGTAGGCACTCTATCTGTATGCTATAAAGATCCCTTCAACATTTAGACGAACATTTAATCATAAGGGGAAAACACAAACAAATAGAACAGCATTTACAAAAGCCTTCACCATAGAAAGACAGTATTACAACACTGAAGTCTGCAGAACTTCCAGATCAGAAAAAAGCAACGTTTCAGAACAAAGAAACGTGATGGAAAAGAAGTTTTTAAAATGCTTTAAGTGCATAAGGTAGCAATGATGGTATGTGGGTTATGCCCCCCTCTGGACTGATAATTCCTATGACACTTCTGAGTGCCATGCTTATGGAAAGCAGGCTAAGGAGGGGGTGCCTTGCCAAAGACTACCGGACAAGCTTCATGACAGAGAGTCCTCATCTTATGCTGCTGTCTAAGCCCAGTGTCCCAATCGTGGTCCCGAAGGCACAGCCGAAAGGGGTTCATCCCAAAACAAAGCCAGGCGACAGACGCCCTCCCGGTCACACTTATTGGTAGTCTGCATCTGCCAGCGGTGCCTCCCCTTTGGGCTATGCCTGGCTGTTGGCGCAGAATGCATTTCCCACCCAGCACTGCTACTGTCTCCAGCAAGGAAGTTCTAAACATTCTAAACACCTGGTGCATCTAATGACCTCAGCTCCAGCCTACAGAGCTCCTGATGGTTTCTGATACAAGATACCAACACAGCTACCCTTTTTGTACTTTGATTAAATGGTATTTTCCACCCAGAAACTGGCAAAAAAATAGGACAATGCCAGGACTTCAGTTATTATTGTAAAGGGCTACAAATGCACGACGGATGGATCCACTCATATTATCATAAGAACATAAGAACATAAGAGACACCAATGTTGGATCAGGCCAAAGGCCCATCCAGTCCAACACTGTGTCACACAGTGGCCAGAAATACCAGTGCCATCAGGAGGTCCAGCAGTGGGGCCAGGACATTAGAAGCCCTCCCACTGTTGACCCCCCCCCCCAAGCACCAAGAAGACAGAGCATCACTTGCCCCAGAGCCCCTAGCTATACCTTGTGGCTAATAGCCACTGATGGAACTCTGCTCCATATGCTTATCTAATTCCCTTTTGAAGCCGTCCATGCTTGTAGCACCCACCACTTCCTGTGGCAGTGAATTCCATGTGTTAATCACTCTTTGGGTGAAGAAGTACTTCCTTTTATCCGTTCTAACCCGACCGCTCTGCAGTTTCATGGAGTGCCCACGAGTTCTTGTATTGTGAGAAAGGGAGAAAAGTACCTCTTTCTCTACCTGCTCTTTCCCATGCATAATCTTATAAACCTCGATCATGTCTCCCCTCAGTCGTCGTTTCTCCAAGCTAAAGAGCCCTAAGCGCTTTAACCTTTCCTCATAGGGAAAGTATTCCAACCCTTTTATCATTCGAGTTGCCCTTTTCTGCACTTTTTTTTAATCTTCCCCTTTCCCTCCCTTTACATGTACTTCTTCCTTGTCAGCAGAAACACAACAAGAAAAGCTTAAAGAATACTATGTGGTGTGTATCTGAAGAAGTGTGCCTGCACACAAAAGCTTATACCTTGAATTAAACTCTGTTGGTCTTAAAAGTGCCACTGGACCCAAACTTTGTTATGCAGTGCATGTATAAAACTTGAAATTCAATCCAAATCGTAAGAGATGAATGAGTTTACTTTGTAGAGAATTACTGTCAGACACAGGTGCAGTGCTTAAAGTCTTCATCTCTGAAGTAATAAGTGGCGGAAATGAGTTTCCCAAGAAGCAACCTCTGTTTTTGTCTATAGCCTTAAATGATATAAACCAGATCCTAAGCGTACAAATTTGGAAACTGGCACCAATGAAAACAGTGCAATTTACTTCCAAATGTCCCTGAGGTGCAAAATGCTTATGGATTGGGACCACCTCTGGAGCATTCATAGCTGCACATCTCAGCCTGTTTACTTGGAAGAAACTTTTAGTGAAACAGAGTCAGTAAACAGGTTCAAAACTGAAAGTTATTAGACTCCCAGGCAAATGCTGCCATAATCGCAGAAACTGAAGTCTGCTGAGTTTTCAGCTCCCCGACACCAAGACAATGAACCACTGCTAAAAAAACATTAACAAACTTCAGGCAAAAGAGACTGTTCGGACTCTGTCCAGTGCAAATTCTAAATTTAACTCTCCCCCCCCCTAAACATGTCTCAAATCACTGATAGAATCATCCTTCAAAAAAACCCTCATCAGATTAACAAACTTTTGTAGAGCAGTGCCTGCTACTGAGCTGCGCCCGAGTCCGATGTACGGAGCACCCCAGTCACAGAACGCACAGGTGGAAGGAATGCCATGCCCTGGCAGAATCCCAGCCCTGACTTCTGCTCTCCAAGAGTCAGCTGTCTCTTCCAGTCTAGTCTAAGAGGGAACGGAACATGGTAATCACCAAACAGGAGACAGGCAACCCATGTTGTTGTTGTTGAATCTCATGTTAAGCCTCAGAATTCTGAAGGATTTTAAAAATAGAACAAAAGACAAAAGACAAGTTTTAAAATTAGGGTAAAGTACCTGGACAAGTGTCCGTTTAAGGTGTCTGATGTCATTCTCCAAAGATACTACAGAGGGGTCCAATATCGTGCGAACTACATGGAGGGAAGCTGTTGCCTACTCCCAGGTACATCACACAATAGGCACCTGAGAACAACAGCTGGGGTCAGTGCAGCATCTTTGGCAGTTGCTGGAGCACACCTCCTCCTCCTCCTCTTCCTGCTCCTTCCTAGACAGAATGGTTGAACGCCCAGGAGATGAAAGCTAAGAATGTGTTGTGGAGCACAACCAGCAGCTCGCAACCTGGCAGACTCCATCAACAAAAGCAACTCTAGTCACAAAAAGCGGCAGCTAGGAACGAAGAGGGGGATCTGTTCGGAGAGCAAATGATCAGCAGCTCTGGAAAGGTTTTATTTGTTTATTTTGGTAGAAATAAGCAATTAAACGGCATGGATTAGTTTCCTCGTGCAAGGAAGAAAGAATGCCTGTGGCCAAGCTCTTCTCTGGCAAATGGCTTGCCATTTAACACTTCCAGTACTCCTGCCTGCGCTTACTGGTAAGGTTGCTAAGAAGAAATACAAGTAAGAGGAATCCATCTGACTTCCTAAACTGATCAACACTGCAACTGACACAATAATAGGCAGTGAGCCACAGAGCTTCCAACACCTGAAAACTTGCCTAACAAAATGTCATGTAACCAACACCACTTAAGTTTCAACATGTAGGGAAGGCGAGAGGACATCATGGGCAAGATGAGCATTTTGCCCATTAATTCATACAAACAGGTTTGCCTTTCACCCCAAGTAGGTTTTGATTACCTGGTAAATGACATCTTGGAAAAGGACTGGAAAGGTAAGTGCAGCATCTTCGAGTTCATTTAGACTACAATGGACTAATGTTTCATCCTACAAAGAGTTAAGAAAACAGCAAGACTTAAAGGTCAACAAATTAATAACTGACTTGCGTTCTCTGAAAGGATCCCCTCCCCATTTGTCCACCACACGAGTGCCATAATCAAAGGTTCAAGTTTCTACCAAGCATCATTTATAATCCTTACCAAGTCTAGAACTAAGGAGAACTCTGGTGTGCTTCTGGTTTTCAGTGGAAGAGCAGGCTTCCGATTAAGTTGTTCTTCCGTTAGCGGTGGGACGTGCTTGATGAAATAGTAGCTGGGAGGGAGACAAAACAAGATACTGTTCGTTCACTGATTTCAATGAATGCTTTCTGGGGTGACTGCAGAGAGGGTGGACCACTTAGAAGCAAGTTGAAAGTCAGTGTTAAGGGCCGGCAAACTGATATAAGGCGCCGGGCTTGTAGGATAGTGCCTGGCACAATTGAGGTCTGTTTTTATGAACGTTGTAAGCTTCCCTGAGCCTGCCTCGGCAGGGAGGGTGGGATAGAAATAATAATAATAATAATACCAGACACATGAAACCCTGAAACAACCCCCTCTTTGGAAAAGAGCTTGGGGGCGCGTGAGAATTGTGAGACTAAATGAGGTTGTTTCATGCTGGTTTAACTACCATGGTCCCTCAACTGTGGCTGGCAGAATTATGCTCAGGGTATCATAAAATATTTAAAGTTGATTCACTTCCTTTAATCGCCAATAAAGATCACTTATACACATATTTTTATTTTATCCTATAAAATACCTAGAATTACAAGCTGATATCAAACAGGAATACATACGGATCGAAGACTTCCCAGTCTTCTTCATAGGTGGCTTCAGCGTGAGCTGACGAATAACCACTGTCCGGAGAGACCGGTGCTACAAAAACATGATTAGTTGTCACTCAGTTAATCTGAAGGAGAGAGAATGTTTCTTTTAGCAGCGGACTGGAGGCCAGCAGCACTTTATTGAAAATACATTTATAGACTGTATTCCCGTATCATCGAAAGCGGTTTCCACAAAACAGTCCAACCCAGTCTATAAAACAAATTAATTTTACAGCTTCAAAAACCGTACTCACACCAAAATCATAAATCAGCCAAAGGCCACTTTTGTTTTGTGGGTACTTGTGTTTGCGTATGCGCCTGCATGCCCGGAAGTCATGGCGGCTTCTGACGACCCCCACTGGGGGCTTGGGACATTTTCCAGAGAGGTGTGGCTTGAGTGCCCGCCTCTGCATCCCAGGCCCTGGTATTCCTTGGAGGCCTCCCTTCCAAGTACTTGCCAGGGTCGGCCCTGCTTAGTTTCCAAAACCGGATGAGATCGGGCTGGTCTGGGGGCTGTCCAGGTCAGGGCGACTTAAGGCCATTTTTAAAAGCTCTGCTTTGCGCCTTCTCCTGAACAACAGCAAAGATGAGACACGCCTCACTTCAATGGACAGCCCCCCCCCCAAGAAAAAAGAACGGGAGCTACCAGGGTAAAAAGCCCTCATCTGGACCAGCGGCATGCATTTCCTGCTGCCCAAAGCAGAGCACCCTTGCAGGCTTCTTCTGGGAGAAGGCACTAACTAAAGTTTCTGAGGTCTCTTCAAGGGCAGCCCTGTGCATGTATTCATCGTTTATTTATATATTTATAAGTCTACATTCCTTGTTGACCCTCAGTGTAGATTACACCATGTAAATCAGTGCAATCAATATGAAGAGATGCCTAATAAGTGATATACTAGGACCAGTGTTCCCTCTAAGCTGAGTTAGTGTGAGCTAGCTCACAGTTTTTTAGTCTCCAGCTCACTTTTTTTTCTCCAGAGCAAACTAGTTTATGCAGAAGACTAATCCCTCGCTCACAATTTTAACACCAGTAGCTCACAATATAGAATTTTTGCTCACAAGACTCCACAGCTTAGAGGGAACACTGACTAGGACTGAGATTACAGAAAGCTGAATGAACACAGCAGGCCAGGCGTGATACAGAGGGCAGGCATAATGGAGAAAAATAGTATTGCACCCACAGAGACTCTGCAGTGACCAAAGGGAAATAATACATCTTGTACACAGCAGTATAACGTCACAGTCCCTTTCCTTTTATAGAGCGCCTCCCTGAACCATTCTGTTAAGACTAGAACAGAACTGGTGGTGGAAAGCAAAGGCACGGCACGTTCAGAGGTGGGCTGCCGTTGCCTGCCCCAGCGGCTGCAACCCTGGCCCTCCTCGGTGGCCTCTCATCCAGACACTGGACAGGGCCGACCCTGCTTCGCTTCGCGATCTTCCAAGATCAGGCCAGCCTGGGCCATCCAGGGCTAGGCACAGTGCGATTACCTATACGGAAAAGCCTTCCCAAACAGCTCCATCTCACATAGTTCGCAGCGTGACAGAAGTGTGGGGGCCCTGCTGACCTTTCCAGGCAGGCCACTCACAAGGTGGGGGCCACAAGAGAGAAAGCACGTGTACCGGGGGGGGAGGGGCTGTTGATCTTGCCTGTTTGTCAGGTGGCATGGGCAGAAGGCCATGAGCAGATGAGACTGTCATGTCGGAGCAAAGGACAAGAGGTGGCCCTGTAGATGTGAGGGTCCGAGGCCGCGGTTGGGCTTTGTACTTGATCGCCAGGACCTTGAATTGAACCCAGTAGCTGAGTCCAGTTGGGGAAATGCCCACGATGCCTGCTCTGAGTCTGCTTCCTGTGTCTTTTGTTCTGCTCAAGGTGAGAGACTGTATTTGTCTCGCTCCCTCCGCAGAGACACAAGCCTCTGGGCGTGAGCAGAAGGGAGAGAGCTCTTCGCCATTTTCACAAGTGACATGGGGAGAAACCCCACTGATATGAAAGAGGAAGAGATACAGCCAAGTTACGTCCTTGGGAGTCACGACCAGCACTGAAAACGAACTAAAACACCTGTTGGACAACACTAACAATGCATCAAGTAGTTAGCTTCGGCCTGCTTTATGTTGGTTTCTTAGGTTTCCTGGTGGCAAAGGAACCCTGGAAAGGTGGCATCACAATTCTCTAAGTAAATATATAATAAAACAAGACAGCTGCATCCAGCTACTTAGTCAAAGACCTTTATGGCTGGGTGTGATCACACCCAACTCTAAAGCTACAGACACTCTTACTGAGAGCTCTCCTTGAGAGATGAAAACAACTTCACGGAAAAAGATGAGAGCCCTGCAACGCCCCCCAACCCCCGATCAATGCCCAGACTCTGTTATCGCCCTTGACCACGCCCTGTGTTCACACACACACACACACACACACACACACACCTGAAACCACTGCACGCCCACCCCCTCACCCACCCTGTATTCCCAGTGGGACAACAGGATGGCATGATCAATGGTGTCAAGAGTGGCTGACAGGGCTAACAAAACCAGCTGCAAGGCAGTATTCCTATCCATTATTTTAAACCCAAGCCCTAACAATAGCTGCCTTTAAAAGTTTCAGGGAGCAGACTTATTTTTAAAAAGCTGTTGTTAACCTGATCCTCAGGGGTCCCAATTTTATCAGCGCACGGCTAGCACAGACCCAGCCTGCAGGAAATGGCCCTCCTGTCATCCTGTCGCCACCTATGGGGGGGGAGGAGCCATCCGCAACTGGCCGTGTCTCCTGACACCTCTGTCACCTGATCTGCGCCCAAGCCAGAATGCAAGTGACTGGGTTGAAAAGATTTCATTGGCAAAGAAGCAAGCAGAAACCGCAGAGTCCAGATCAGAGTCCAATCTGACCAAAACCTGCTTCAGGGCTACTGGGCAAGAAGAAGAAGAGGAGGAGGAGGAGGAAGAGGAGGAGATTGGATTTATACCCTCCCTTTCACTACCTGAAGGAGTCTCAGAGTGGCTTACAATCCCTTTTCCCTTCCCCTTCCCACAACAGACACCCTGGGAGGCAGGTGGGGCTGAGAGAGCTCTTTCGAGGACTGCTCCTGAGAGAACAGCTCCGAGAGCCCTTGTGACTGACCCGAGGCCACACCAGCAGCTGCATGTGGAGGAGTGGGGAATCAAACCCGGTTCTCCCAGATTAGAGTCCGCACTTCTAACCACTACACCAAACCACTGAGCTGGGCTGGATCCTTACAGTTTATCTTTCGAAGGGGACTGATTGCCCAAGTTAATGACAATAAAACAGTTAAAGGTTGCGCAGGACATGTTGCAAGAATCACCTGTCATTTTGTGCAGATGTTATTATTTTTTTTAAAAGTACCATCATGGAAACAGATACGACACATCTGAATACCCAACCAGAAAATATTACTCCTGAGGCTGTGTACCTGAGAGTTGTGGCCTTGGGGGGGGGGGGGGGTGTTACAGCTTGTTCTCTGCTTAAGCTCAACAGACTGACCAGCAGCTTCAGTCTCTTTGGCCCTCTCCCTTCAGGACTCCGAGAGGCAGTGTCCCCAAAGTTCCCAGGCACTCCCACGTCCCTCAGGGCCAGGCAGCCCTATGAGCTGCACAGCAACCTGGGCCCACCTCACTGGCGTGGGCAGGAACTGGACTGGCAAAGGCAGAGCGGGTCTGGTCGCTAAGTGTCCCGGGGCAAACCAGAACACGTGTGGCCCTTACCCGTGAGAGGGGGCAGGTCACGATCAGGCACATCCTCCACCTCCTCCAAGCCGTTGTTGATCGCTGACCGGACCTGTACCGCTTGGCTGGCATAAGATGCTCCGTTGGCCGAGGCGGCAGTGCTGGTGATGATCTCGTCGACCTGTTCCATATCCAGCTGCTTCACTATTTCTTCCGCTTCCACAGCCTGCCCAGGAGAGTCCGAGCCAGCCGTTCCTGAAATGAGAAGGACGCTTACAGTTGGCCACTGCACTCAGGTCAAGCTACTTGAGGATGAACTATCATTAATTTTTAATTTTTAAGATTTTAAAAGCATGAATAATCAAAATCCTTATTTCCTGCCCAGAAGACGACAAGTTTTTCTTCATAGCTATTTCACAGTACTTCATATGTAAGTGCAACTTGATAGAATCATAGAGTTGGAAGGGACCTCCAGGATCATCTAGTCCATCCCCCCGCACAGGGCAGGAAATTCAGAAATACCTCCCCCTCCACACACCCAGTGACCATCCTTCCACACCCAGAAGATGGCAAAAAACCCTCCAGGATCCCCGGCCAAACTGGCCTGGAGAAACATTGCTTCCTGATCTCAAAGTGGTAATCAGCATTTCCCTGGGCGTGTAAGAAAGGGCCACGAGAACTATGCACTGAGGCCTTCCTGCCCTCCGTCTCATGATCTACTTAAGTTCACAGAATCAACGTTCCTGTCAGATGGCCACCTAGCCTCTGTTTGAAAACCTCCAAGGAAGGCGAGCCCACCACCTCCGAAGGAAGCCTGTTCCACTGAGGAACCGCTCTAACTGTCGGGAAGTTCTTCCTAATGTTTAGCTGAAGACTCTTCTGGTTTAATTTCATTCTGTTGGTTCTGGTCTGACCTCCTGGGGCAACAGACGGTAACTCTGCACCATCTTCTAGATGACAGTCCTCCAGGTACTTGAAGATTGTTATCATATCACCTCTCAGTCTTCCCCTCTCCAGGCTAAACATACCCTGCTCCTTCAACCTTTCCTCACAGGACTTGGTCTCCAGACCCCTCACCACCTCCGTTGCCCTCCTCTGGACACGTTCCAGCTTGTCTATATCCTTCTTAAATTGTGGTGCCCAAAACTGAACACGATACTCTAGGTGAGGTCTAACCAGAGCAGAGTAAAGTGGTACCATTTTGCGTGATCTGGACACTATACTTGTTAATACACCCCAAAATTGCATTTGGCTTTTTAGCAACCACATCACACTGCTGACTCATGTTCAGTGTATGGTCTACTAAGACCAGTGTTCCCTCTAAGCTGAGTTAGTGTGAGCTAGCTCAAAGTTTTTTAGCCTCCGGCTCACACATTTTTGTGTTAGCTCAGGCAGGATGGCTCCAGAGCAAACCAATTTATGCAGGAGCCAAATCGCTTGCTCACAACTTTAATGCCAGTAGCTCACAAGACTCCACAGTTTAGAGGGAACATTGACTAAGACCCCTAGATCCTTTTCGCACATGCTACTGCCAAGACAAGTCTCCCCCAACCTTTAATTATGCATTTGATTTTTTCTACCTAAATGCAGAACTTTACATTTAACCACATTGAAATTCATTTTATTTGTTTTAGCCCAATTTTCCGGCCTGCCAAGATCATCCTGTATCCTGAATCTGTCTTCTACCGTATTTGCTACCCCTCCCAATTTAGTATCATCTGCAAATTTAATAAGCATTCCCTTTATCCCTTCATCCAAATCACTGATAAAGATGTGGAACAAAAGAGGTCCCAGGACAGATCCTTGAGGCACTCCACTTGTCACTCCTCCCCAAGAAGATGAGGAACCATTCACAAGTACTCCTTGGGTGTGATCAGTCAACCAGTTATAGTTCCACCTAACAGTCATAGGATCCAAACCACATTTTTCCAATTTGTCAACAAGAATATTAGGGGGAACCGTATCAAAAGCCTTACTGAAATCAAGGTAAACTATGTCTACAGCATTCCCTTGATCTAGCAAGGTACAATACTTGCCATTTTTATTTGCTGGTGAGAAAAAATTGAAGACAGGAGAAAATATGGTGCCCAGTAACGTAGTTCGTGGGGGGCTGCCGGTGGTGGGATTATCTTCCAATTTTCCATTTTGCCGAACGTGCTGGTTTGTCATTTCATAATTTCCAGCTTCTAGAACACACACAAAAACACTTGCACTAGCCCAGTTTCCAATGCCATCAAATGAACCCCGGTCCCAACATGTTTACCAGAGATGTGCCTTTTACCTTCAAGCCACGTGATAAATATTTGTACAGGAAGAAAAAGCGATATTGCACTTGATACCACTTTCAGGGCTCTGACTCATAAAAGCTCACGTTACAGTAACTGTGTTAGTCCTTGGGATGCCACAAGGCTTTTTTGCCACGACACCTCTAGGCAATATCCTCCGTCCACCAACGTGTGCTTCCGCTCAGGGGCTAAAGATTCCTAACACAGATCACAGTCTTCAGGCAGAGTTTATTTACATTACTTACATCCCATCTTTCTCCCCAGCAGGGGCCCAAATTGGCTTACATCATTATCCCCTCTTCCGTTGTATCCTCACAACAGCCCTGCGAGGTAGGCCGAGAAGGAGTGACTAGTCCAAGGTCACCCAGTGAGCGTCTGTGGCAGAAGTGGGGATTTGAACCTGGGCCTCCCAGACCCTAGCCAGGCACACGGACTAGGACGGCCCCTCCCTCACTCTGCAGCAGACCCGCCAGAGCTGACGTGACTGCCCGGCCTACAGCCTCCCAGGCGATGAAGAAGAAGAAGAAGAGATTGGATTTCTACCCCGCCTTTCACTACCGAAAGGAGTCTCAGAGCGGCTTACAATCTCCTTTCCCTCCCCCTCCCCACAGCAGACACCCTGTGAGGTAGGTGAGGCTGAGGGAGCTCTTTCGAGGACTGCCCTTGAGAGAACAGCTCTTATCAGAACTATGGCTTGCCCAAGGTCATCCAGCAGCTGCAAGTGGAGGAGTGGGGAATCAAACCTGGTTCTCTCAGATCAGAGTCAATGCACTTAACCACGACACCAGACTGGAATCACAGCCGGCCACCTCTGACTGCACCAGATCAGGGAGCAAGATCTCTTGGAGGACGCAGCCACGGGGCCACTAGAGAAACCTGTAGCAGCTGGTAGCGTACCAAACTGCAACAATTACACAGTTCACCTACACAACTGGGAAAGAGCTGGGATAGCCGGTGTCTTGATTTGATTTTTTTTTAAAAAAAAGAGAATGTGTGCTTCTTAAAAAGTGATGAATTTGGGGGGGGGGGAGGCTGCAAGCAGAGAAGCCTGTCCCTTCTGCCCGTTTTCATGCAGGAGGAAAAGCTACCTGCACTGGCGATATTGCTCCCTTGCAACGGCAAGCCCTGTAATGGCTCTCATGTCAAGAACAGCAGACAGCTTCGTTGCCTGCCTGAGAGAGACCAAGATACAGACCCCAGCTCAGTGAGAAGGTCGTTGTGTGGTCCCGGGCAGGACGCTGTCTGAGCATGGGAGGTCCCCGGCCTCACACCCACCAACAATGAAGACTTCCCGGTTTAGACCTGACTGTCATTTGTCTTGACATCCAAACTGGGAGCTTAACAAATTCTAGTTTATTTCTATTAAGACCAGTGGCACCTTTAGGACCAACAAAGTTTTATTCAAGGTATAAGCTTTCGTGGGCATGCCACGGGACCAACACGGCTACCCACCTGAATCTAGTTTATTTCTTGTTTAAAATCCTGGGGCTTACAAGCGAAAGTGATTGCAATTCATTAAGGAACCTAATTCAGATATCACAGGAAATTAAAGTTAATTTTAAACTAGGAAGTCTCTATCCCTCCCTAAGGTCGGGCATATAAGGAGTGGAGGAAACAAACACATGACCACAGATTTCTATAGTTTGTCTGAATGCTGACATAGCCCCCCTGCCCCACCCACATTCCAGCTTCAGATATTTGCTCTAAGCATCAGGGGAAAACCAAAAAGCATTTTACGCAATAAAGGCATGACATACATGTTACAGTCATCCCCAGGGCCGTCCCGCAACTACGAGCTCAGTCCTTCTCTTCCATCAAACCAGTGCCAACAGTCCTAGTTACTTCAGTGGTGCCGAAGGAACAAAGACTTCAGAAGAAAGAATGGGTAAAACGTTCACAAACCTCCATTCACTTGACTTTTCCGCCTCACTCGAGAGATCTGTTTGTTAGGTTTCTCTCCTGTTCGAGGAGTAGAACTAATCAGGTTGTCATCTATATCACGCTCAATGCGACTTCTCTTAGCTGGATGCTCTCTTTCATCCTTAAAACAGAAAACATGGCCAAATCATCACCAGGTTTTGTTTTTTTAAAAGACAACTACTAGCAAAATTTTCTGGGTCAGTTTCTACTGATCCTCACTTTTATGAGCGTGGCAGTGAACGCCAGCATCTGCCTCACTTTTTTTATCACGTTCTTCCAAGGTTCATTTCTGAATTGGGGGGGGGGGGATTGTGACTTAAATAAAAGGGGTCAGAAGAACCCATCTGCATTCCCCCCCCCTCACATTTCTACACCTCAATGCAACGGAAAACAAAAATAAAAGGTTCAAATTGATTTCATTTAAGCAGTACTGAATTCTAAGGCCATGCTATCAAGATTTTTTTGAGGCTGGCTGATGTACTTCTGTCCTCGCTCTTGAGATTTTGCATCTATGACCTATACTACCTTAAAGAGCAGGAAAGCCCACTTAAAAAATTTCCACAGCTCATAGGTTGTCGTGAAGACTCTCCTCCATCCCTGCAGACGGTTATCACTCTGGGAACATACGGAAATTCTCCGCTCTGTTCAGCCAGGAGAGCCTAGGACAGCACAGCCCACAAAAGGTTCTAGACCAGGGGTGTCAAACATGCGGCCTGGGGGCCAGATCAGGCCTCCAGAGGGCTTCTGTCAGGCTCGCAGTGGAACTGCCTGTCTTCTGCTTCTTCTTCCAGTTCTGCTGCTGCTGCTGCTGCGTCATCGTAGGTTTGCAGCTTACAGATACACACCTGAACAGCACACTCAGGATTGCAACAGCACAGACATTTTGATGCAATAATTCAGAGCAAGAGGTGTCAGTTATCAGACACTGCTAAATAAACGAAATATTGCAAGAGCACTGATCTTTTTAGCATGTTTTTATTTAAAAAGAACCGTTGTGTTTGTGTGCTTTATAAAGTTTATAACTCCGCTACCTGGCGTTACATTTTATGACACACACGGCCCGGCCCGACAAGGTCCCATTTATGTCAGATCCGGCCCTCATAACCAATGAGTTCGACACCCCTATCCTAGACCCTCGTGCACATGTGGATCAAACGTGTTCCCTTGCTTGGTTCAGCTACTTTGTATTCCCCAATTACAAGAATGACCCACTACTGTTCTCCTGAAAGAAGGAAATTCCCCAGGTCAGTTTCCACTCTGATCAGCAACAACAGAACAATCTGACCCACCCTTCTGATGCCTAACTTGGACATGTGGGGTGGGGTTATTGGCTGTATCAATATCACAGTGACTGGACGACACTTTTGACAACCAGCAGAACTCCTGACTGAAGGCACTGAACTGAGTTTGTTTCCATAGAGTTAATATAAACTGTAGCAACAGAAGAGCCTGCATTATTTTTATATTGATCACAATGAACTCCATATAGGGAATTAGCAAACGACAGTAGTTTTTGTCCTTGATCCTATTACCCCTGGGTCTGCTGCCCATGCTAAGAACTATCGTGTTCAATTTGTTGTCACGCTACTTAGCAAGCTAGTCTTCCAAGCAGTGCATCTAAAACTAACAGCAGCTGCCCAGAAGTGAAGTCACTGAGCTCAGGGGTTCACGGGAAGTCTGACAGAAAGCAACACATTTCCAATCCAGCCACCTGAAAATCTCAACATAGCAGACCTGGTGACTCTCCCCTTGAGAGGAGTTCCACAGTGCAGATGACACCACTGGTGCAGCCTCATTTGGGATACTGTGTACAGTTCTGGTCGCCACATCTCAAAAAGGATACTGAAGAGCTGGAAAAAGTGCAGAAAAGGGCAACCAAAATGATCACGGGGTCGGAGCACCTGCCCGACAAGGCAAGGCTAGAGCACCTTGGGGTGGGGGTGGGGTGTTTTAGTTTAGAAAAAAGGTGAGCGTGAGGGTGACATGTTAGAGGTCTACAAGATTATGCAAGGGGTGGAAAAAGTGGACAGAGAATAGCCTTCCCACCCACCCCCTTCATCCATCATAACCAGAACTGGAGGCAATGCTATGTAATTGATTAAATGTAGATTCAAGTCAGACAAGTAGAAGTTCCACTTCACATGACAGGTAGCTAGCTTGCAGAACTCACTGCCACGAGATGTGCGATGTCCACTGACTTAGAGGTACTTTAAAAAGGCACTCAACAGATTTATGGGGGATTTATGGGAGCCGGGGTGGTGTAGTGATTAGAGGGATCTAGGAGGCCAGGTCCACATCCCTGCTCCTCCGCGGAAGCCGGCTGGAGGATCTTGAGCCAGTCGCATACTCAGCTTAACTACCTCACAGGGAGAGGAATCATAGAATCACAGGATGTGAGAGTCGGAAGGGACCTCGCAGATCATCTAGTCCAACCTCCCTGCACCCTGCAAGAGCATAGCCAAAAGACAGCCCTATGACATACCCGAAAGAGGGTCGTCCAGCCTCCGCTTGAAAACGTCCAGCGAAGGAGCATCCACCCCCTCCCGAGGCGGTCTGTTCCACTGCTCAACCACTCTGACAGTTAGGAAGTTTCTCCTGATATTTAGCCGGTAACGACTCCCTTGTCATTTCCACCCATTAGATCTAGTCTTGCAATCCGGAGCGAGAGAGAATAGATCCGCTCCATCTTCTACATGACAGCCCTTCAGATACTTGAAGACGGCAATCCTGTCCCCTCTAATACGGCTTCTCTTTCCCAGGCTAAACAGACCCAACTCTTTCAGCCTTTCCTCAGAAGACTTGGATTCCAACCCTCTGATGTGAGGAGAACGAAGTGAGCCACTCTGGGTCCCCAGCAAGGAGGAAGGCGAAACAGATAAATGGCGCAACTAATTAAATAATCAATCTATCACTGGCTATTAACCGTGACAGCCAAAGGAGGGCCCTGGACCCAGACAATGGGGAGCGCTGCTGTCGCTGGTCAGAGGCCACAGGGAAACAAGGATGCTAACAGAGGGACCACTGGTCTGGTCCACCAGGTCTACTCTTATGTTTTCAAGAAGAGTGGGGAGAAAACAGCAGCCTCTTCCCTTGGGACCGATTCCTTATACAAGGGGTCAGACTGTTTAAGCCACGGCCACCTGAAAGACCAGGCACTTTGCAAAATGCCTAGCATTTAATTTATTCCGCTAAACATATCTATATATATATATGCTGGCGGGGCTGGTGAGTTACAGGAATCATACTGAGCCACTACTTGAGAATCTGCACTGGCTGCCCTTCAGTTTCCAGGCACAACGCAATGTTCTGATTCTCAGTTTTCAGGCCCTAGATGGCTTGTGGCCAGGGTACCCAAAAGACCGCCTCCGCTCGTACTGCCTAGCCGCCGGGTCTTCTTCAGTACCTCCACTTGCTGTGCCCCTGCCTTCAGAGGTAAGGCGGGTGGGCGACCGCAGGCAGGGCTTTTTCAGTGGTGGCCCTTTCCCGCAGAATGCTCAGAGGTTTGCCTGTTACCTACCCTACTCTCTTTTAGGCACCAAGCAGAAACATTTTTCCTTGGAAGTTCAATTAAGGTATAATCTTTTAACATCAATTTTATAGTCTGCTTTTAGCCTACAATCTGTTTTATCAGACTCGTTTTAAGCTGCTCAATGCTTTCTGCTGTCCTGTGTTCTGGCAGGGTTGTTAGCTGTGTCTATGGCTTCGTTGTATTTTATCTGGTAAGCCATCTCAAGCAGGTTCCATGGCTAGAGAGCCAGCGCGCAAGTCTTCTAAAGGAAACTAAAACATCCTAAACAGTTGCTGAGCACTTACCTTGGGGGTGCTCCCTTTAATGAACTTTTTGATTGAAGACAATAAGCCAGTTTCATTCTTCTGCGGTTTCCCTCCTCCAACAGGTAAGCTTTCTTCGACCTCGGAGTATTTCCTCTTCACCCTCAGTGCACGCTGCGTGTAGTTCTGATTTGACTGCTGAGAAGCTTTCCGCGTTCTCAGCCTCATTTTTGTTGGTATCACATGTAAAACTGTAAAAGAAAAAGAACAGAGAATGCTCTAAGTCTAAACGCACTCATGCTTTATAGGTATACTTGCACTTACAAGCATTATTTCGACACGGAGGAAAGTGTGGCTCTTTTTCTCTCAATGCATATTTTACTCAACATGCAACAAGATGGGTTGGATCCAGTAACAAATACCACAGAAGGAGAGAGCAGACTGGACCTTCCCCATCTCCCCCTCCTTCGCCAAGAGCCTGCTATTTGCTCCCAAAATCAAAGCATTACAGTCAGATGCACAGCAGTACGGGATACCGCAACAACAAGGGGGATATCGGCTAAAACTGCCTCCTCCTCTGCTGATGACAGAAGAAGGGGAAGGAGAGATTGGGTTCATATCCCGTGGCCCTCCACTACCCGAAGGAGTCTCAGAGAGGCTGACAATCTCCTTTCCCTTCCCCTCCCCACAACAGACACCCTGTGAGGTGGGCGGGGCTGAGAGAGCTCGGACAGAAACTGCTCTTTTTCAAGGACAGCTCTTATCAGAACTATGACTTGCCCAAGGTCACCCAGCAGGTGCAAGTGGAGGAGGAGTGGGGAATCAAGCCCGGTTCTCCCAGATTAGAGTCCGCGCACTTAACCACGACACCAGACTGGCTCTCCAGAATGAGGTGATTTTACCTCCCCACCACCACTACCACTGCTACAGTGGCCCATCCTGTGGTACGCCTGGTCTGCAAGGCTCTCCTGACCCTCAGAGGGGATTTTCAGGACAAAAAGCAGGCTGCTCGAAGAAAGTGCAGACAGACCTGAACTCTTTCTGTGAGCTTTTCCAGTGGATCCAATCAATGCTCCCTCTAAGCTGTGGAGTCTTGTGAGGCAAAATCCTACTTTGTGAGCTCCTGGCATTAAAGCTGTGAGCGAGTGATTTGGCTGCTGCATAAATTAGTTTGCTCTGGAGCCATCCTTCCAGAGCGGAGACAAAAATCTGTGAGCCGGAGGCTAAAAAAATGTGAGCTATCTCACACTACCTCAGCTTAGAGGGAACACTGGATCCAATCCTGTGTGTGCATTCTGTGCACTAAGTGAAAGTCACTGCAACCTTCACAACTGAATTCTGGCTCTCCCCAAAACTGAGGCTGGCATACAGTTTTTCAGAAAAATCAGAGCACACTGGGGAAAAAGGACACACAGCTCTTATCAGACCTAAGAACACTTCTTAACGTTGAAGTCAGCCACACTCAGAAAGGTGACAACACAGACTCAGTACACAATTTTTTATTTCAACCCCCTACATTTTTGTCCAATATAGCTGATAAATGTTTTCTGGAAACCTGTCTCACAGCTGAAAAATGACCGCCACTCAAGTGTTTTTTGAGGAATCAAAGTAGTACTGTTTGTCACACTACACTGGCGGAGGCAAAATCTGCTCTTGTTGACTTGTCTTTACACAAATGCAAGTTCTGCTCCCATCCCAGGTAATCCCTTGGGATTTTAATATTCTATGCAAAACTTCACTTTCAGAAATATTAAAGTGTTGAATCCCCCATGCAAGGACAAGCTGGCCCGGTGAGCATTCAGCTTGTGCTGATATGCGAAGGATATAATGGAAGCACCTGATCTGTGGGCACAGAAGGATTGTCACCAATGTTCCCTCTAAGCTGTGGAGTCATGTGAGCAACAATTCTACTTTGTGAGCCACTGGCATTAAAGTTCTGAGCGAGCGATTTGGCTGCTGCATAAATTAGTTTGCTCTGGAGCCACCCTTCCCGAGCTGAGACAAAAATGTGTGAGCCAGGGGCTAAAAAACCGTGAGCTAGCTTAGAGGGAACACTGACATATCCACTAGAACAGGGGTGTCGAATTCATTTGTTATGAGGGCCGGATCTGACATAAACGAGACCTTGTTGGGCCGGGCCATGCGTGTCATGAAATAGAATGCCAGGTAGCGGAGACGCAAACTTTATAAAGGACACAAACACAAAGAATTTTTTTACTTAAAATAAAAACATGCTTAAATCATTAGCACTCTTGCAATATTTTGTTTATTTAACAGTGTCTGATAACTGACACCTCTTGCTCTGAATTACTGCATCAAAACGTCTGTGCTGTTGCAATCTTGAGTATGCTGTTCAGGTATGTATCTGTAAGCTGCAAACCTACTTTTGATTTATTGACATTCACCACAGAAATCTCATGGTCAGAGTTCTGAGTCTAGGACCCAGGTTAAAACATGAAAATGGCTGAGCGATTGAGAGAGTCTGGCGAAGAAAGCTATGATGCAGCAGCAGAACTGGAAGCAGGAGATGGCCAGTTCCACCATGGACCTGATAGAAGCCCTCCAGGGGCCTGATCTGGCCCCCGGCTGCATGTTTGACACCCCTGCACTGGACGTTCTGCAAGACCAAGAGGCAGATGTGGAGGACTTGAATACGGCACCATAAGATATCATCACTAAGAGACAAAAGGAATTTAAGGCTGACTAATGTCGCACGTGTATTGCCGACAAGCCTGGACCACCCCAGAACTAAAATGCAAGCACAAAGAACAATAGAGTGATTCAAGAAGCACTAGACAGCTCTGTCACTCTTGCTGCATCCTCACTATGCGAAATAAGTCTTAAAGCAGCTTAAAAAAAAAAAAAAGCCCTGGTGTCCTAATCAAGTCCTAATTGGGCATTGTGCCTCGGAGGTCAAATGTTGTTCTCGACAAGGGTCTGTGCCTTCCACTGACTGGCACCTGAACACACGCACCATATCAATTTGCAGCTCTCCTACACGCATCCTGCATGGCCAGGGGCAAGTCGCAGCCTGTTAACTCCTCGATTCACCATCTGGGGAAAAATATGTTTGTGTGGCACGCTAGAGAGGAAGACAGGAAGTCCACTCCCACTAATATTTGTGAACTTTAAGGACGGGGCAGTTCAAACGGCTAACCATAAGCACTCCCCACACAAGCATTTTGGAGAGTTAACTAGCCACTGAAATCTGAAAGTCATCAAAATGGTTTAATTAGCTAAAGGTAGAGATCTTACATTTCCAGATACTTTGCAGACATGGGAGAAATGTTTTCTCCCTCTTCTGTGTGTGTGTGGGGGGGGGGGGAACCAAACAAACAGAAATTTTGAAAAAAATTGCAATGGCTGACCTAAACTTAGCTTACTACTTGAACATACACACATTACAGCAAAATTGATTGTGGACAAAATTAGTCATATTTAAACAATTAACTATCTTTGCAAATATGTTGTGTGTAAATAGTACATATCATCTGAAGTGTGTAGATTGTCTTGAAGAAAAATCTTCATACTACACCTCCTGAACAGGTAGTCTTGAAAAACATTTTACTCAAAATTTCCAAATTTTCAGCTGGGAAAAGTCACAGGTTTTTTCCATTTTTCCCAGGGCTTCACCTCTCTAGGTGAAGGCCATTCGTCTGTCAGGTTTTTGTTTAAAATAGTAACAAAGTTCTCCACTGACAAAAGGCCGGTCAGCCCTATGTATTAAAGGATTTTCTGGAGTACACTGAAAATCATAAGAAACAGTAAGCAAATGAAAAGATCCGAAACCTCAGCAGGTCCTGTACAACATGAAACTGCATCTTCACGCACTGTCAGTTCCCATTCGAAGTAGCCTTTCCTCGTTTTCCCAATACATAATTGCATCAGCAACTGTAAAACAAACAAACAAACCCAACCTCTGTTCCAGAAAGAGAGGCCAGAGCTTTAAGTTGCCTTGAGGATACAAATTCCATAGGAGGTCAGTTTGTTACAGCCAAATAGCGTGGCACCATAAAGACTAACAGTATAATTGTGGGAGAAGGCTGTGTTGGGACATCCAAGACCCTCACTCCATCCAGAAATTAAAAAGGTGTACTAAAAAATGTCTAAAGGCATCCCATCGCTAGCAAGCACAATCTACGTTACGTACAGAAAAGAAGGAAGACAGCACGCGGAGTCTTGTGTTTTTGTGTGGGAGTTGAAATACCTCCCCTGAAAGTTATCCTCTGTGGCACAGTTCATTCAATTCAGCTGTGCGCTAGCGCCAGCCAGCAAGTTCTCGGCTGATTTCACATCCTGGCTATCAAGCCACAGTTATAAATATCCTTAATGGTCTTAGCAACAGTTACCTACAATCCTCCCGATGACAGAATTCCGCTTTCCCAACACTGGAGGCAGCCAGAACTCAGAGCTGTTTTCATTACTTCATGTGTTTTAACGCACAAATGAAAACATACTACAAGACTCGACAGAACCGCATTTATACACTTGAATTAAATGAAGGGGCATATTCATTCCGGTGCGCAATAATAGCCCACCACACCTAACAAAGAAAGCTTGGGGGTGGTCATTTGGGGAGGCACAGAACACTGTTATCAGCATGCTGACGAGAGATGCTGACGCCACAGGAGGTGGTGGTGGCTACAAGCATGGACGGCTTCAAAAGGGAATTAGATAAGCATATGGAGCAGAGCTCCATCAGTGGCTATTAGCCCAAGGTATAGATAGGGGCTCTGGGGCAAGTGATGCTCTGTCTTCTTGGTGCTTGGGGGGGGGGGGTCAACAGGGGGAGGGGTTCTAATGTCCTGGCCCCCCTGGGGGGCCTCCTGGTGGCCCCTGGTATTGCCACTGTGTGACACAGAGTGTTGGACTGGATGGGCCTTTGGCCTGATCCAACATTGGCATCTCTTATGTTCTTATGAGAGCTGGGTGTCCTTTCCAACCGGCTTCAAGAGAGGTAGTATCTTTTCTTGAAATCAATAAAATCTGTTATATAAAAAAAGAGAGGCCGGGGGGATTCTAGACAAGTGACTGGGAGCTGTGATGGACTGAATGAGGACAAACAGGCTTATGCACCAGACGAGGCAAAAATACTGTTGACTGGGGACGCAACTGGTCTCAGCACAGGTATAACTGCCTGGATCATTTGGGGTTTCACTTCCCTCCCTGACTAATGCCCACCGTCTAGGCATGCCCTACCTCTGAAGCGGCATTAGTCGGCCAGAGCACATCTTCTCAGCTTAAGTTA